CTCATTATGTTGAGTATCAAAAAAGGCCCATCTATTTTTTCCCCCCTACAATGGGCAATGTGAACAGAGAGCACCAAAAGAAGTAGCTTAGAAGTAGTATTCCTATCATGCATTTCCTCTGCAATAGAAACTTCTCCATCACTACATGTTATGGACAGTGAAGTTTCTAATAGGCAACCCAATCCCATCTAGTTGTTGCCTCTCCCTGCTCCATAATTTTGAAACCAAAAGGTTAACAACCTTAAGTAAAAGACAATGCTCAAACTATAAAGTAGATTACTATAATTATTCCACTGTTGCTTTTTTATTCTACCAGGGGTTAAAGTGAAAAATTAAGAAGTAATTTATCTTTCTAGCATGGCCTTCCACACTATATTAGCATCCACATATATTGAACTACAGATCTTGTTGTCTCCTACCAAGTTAGCTATGGATAATGAGAATTATATTTCAGGATATTTTGAAAGCTCTGGCTTGGAGAAGACTGCTCTTGTTTATTAATTCAGTAACTAGTAAATTGATGTTTTCCTTTACATTCCTTGTGTACTTCTAATTTCCTCTATGCTTCTAATGCTTTTGGATAGCTGATTCTGGCTTGTTCTGTTGTTTTACACATATATTGGTGACATCATTCTCAAATCTATTTCCTGTATGTCCCCTATATAAATGAAAAGGCTTTTGGGTGAACGTAGTTGTTCTTCCCTTGTGCAGTTTTACACCCCATCCCAAAGCTGACATTTTATTGCACTTATTCAGAGCAAGTGTAGCAGATTCCAGTTGTGCCTGACAAATAAAGAACTCAAACCTTGACACCAGCTTTCATTACAATTCATTAAAAAGCACAGCAAACTATTGCATCTAAGTCAGGGGATCCGGCCTGCAGGGTGCTTAAATCTGGCCCATGGGGCTGGCCTGAAAATAGCAAAGAGTGGCCCTCAGTGCCTCTGACAGACAAAACAGTGTGTGGGAGGATGTGTGTGGCCCCGCGTGGCCCATTTTTGGCCTAGACGGCCTCCTGTACCTCTCTGCTGGCCAAAACGGGCTGCGGGAGGGCCGTGTGGCCAGTTTTGGCTGGCAAAGTGCTGCAGGAGGCATCCATTCCATCTTCCCCACCCCAGCCATCCCGCAAAGAACTACAGTGCTGATCCGGCCCTCGAAGAAATTAAGTTTGACACCCCTGATCGAAGTAGTCAATGTGTCATTCTGCATATGAAGTAACCTTATAATAATAGCCACCTTGTACCAAAGGTGCTTTTTCAAGAGGCAACTGGACTTTCTTGTTTTTCTTTGAAGATGTTTCACTTCTCATCCCAGAAGAGCAGAAGAAGTTTCTCCTTTGGGACAACCACAATCTGGATGACTGAGAATCTCCATAGACATTGAGCTACCTTGTACATTCCTAAGGAATTCTGTAGATCAAGGGAAGCTGCGATAGAAGCCCCCTACTTTTAAAACAAGAAGCCAGTCTAGCCACTGTTTTTTTTTTAACTTGGCACTAAAAAGACATGTTAGCTAAGCATGTATTCTGAAAGCAGTTTGTATGATTTCTTGGAGTGTCTGCAAACTCAGAAAATCAAGCAAAATGGGTAAACTTCAGGTACCCGTGAGTGAATGTACTGTGCACGCAAAGCCTGCAAGTGCTGAGGCTAGTAATTAACTGTCATGTTGTCGTTTTCACATGGGTAACAAAATGAAAGCAAAAAGATTAATTCCTACTTTTTGCAGCAGATGTTGTACATCAAAACTGCATTACAGGCATTTGAAGCTAGCATGTGCTAAGCAAACCAAGAAAACGATGCCTGTGGTGACCCTTCCCATTTCTTTCTCTCTCTCTTTTTCCCCTATTCCCTTTAAGTACTTTTTTGTTTCCAATTCAATGGACTCAGGATTGAAGAGAAAGGTTGGATAGATCCAACAGAAAGCCAGGTGCTAAAGAGGACCAACAAAACCACTACAGGGGAGCCATGGAATTGAAACAGCAGGTGTTTCATCATGAAAACCCCACATCTAAGCCTGTTTTTTGAGAGCAGAAGTAGAAACTATCAAGCATGCCCTACATGTCTTTGTGCCAATTCAATTTAATTAAAACAACTGAACATTGTGCTCCAATTTTGCTATATTAACTTTTCAGGTTTTTTTTTAAAAAAAATAAATGTTAACCCATGTTTATGAATCCCGGTTCAAGAACAATAGAAGTTGTTTACATTTGATAATACTTAACATGCTATACACTGATCTTTAATTTACAGAGGCAAGGATGCAAGAGACAAGTTGTCTTCCTCCATTTCTTTGCACTTTGATAGTTCTACTCCCAAATTCGCAAATTTGGGAGTAGCAGGCTCTTGTCTCTTATAAATTAGGGACCCTGACAATGATTATAAACTAGCAATGAAATATTGTAGCTCATGATGATGATGGAGGAGGAGATACAGTCAATTATGGCTGGTTTTATTCTGTTAAAAACAGCGAAGTGTCATAAAACAAGTCACACATTAAAAAAATTATCTATTTATCCAACTTGTCTGATTTTTAATTCCCTGTTTTTTCCCCTTGCTGCAATGTTTCAATCTTCCTTAAACAGTGGCTAAGTCAAAGTGGCTAACTCAGACTAAATGATGAATTCCTAATAATATCTGTCTGAAAAATAGCAAATGCTTGGAGACCAAGCTGAATATGTTAAAAAACCTCCGTTCGTTTTCATCATTAGCATATTTTCATTCTTTGCTGGGTATATCTCCCACATGCATTATCCAGTCAGATCACCAATGTGTATGTGTCTGTGTACACAATTTCCACATTATGCCAACAGGACCTTCTCAAAAACAAACAAACAAAAAAAAAAACCATGCAGCTGTATCTTTCTAGAGGTTCCTTGGAGTCTTGCCCTCTGCAGACTTGTAGCAATGTGAAACCATCGTGAGCATTTCTGTCAAATTCCACTCATCTGTCAGAGTAGTGGATTATTTCTTGAGAGACTGAAATTGGTTGCCTTGGATCAGAACACCATCAATCTTACTCATGTAGGGTGCAGGCTGACTGCTTCAAAGTCTCACAAGAGGAACAGCTCTGCTGTTCCTAAGCAGGTGATGAGACAGTTGTAAAATCTTCACTCTATCTATATTCACAGCCCCTGAGCAAGACATGTCATATTTCCCATTTCTTCAACATTCTGTATGCATTCTATGCCATTCTCTTCTACTTCAATAAAGGAGGCAATTTTTCAAGCTTAGGCAAATACTCCAAGCCACAGGAATATCTATCCCTCATTTTTTTCTCTCTCTCTCTCATCATGTCGCTTGTTTCACCTGATTGTGCAAAAATGAGATCTCATTTTCTTTTTCACTGTTTTTTAAAAATTATTATTTATGGACTTGCTAATCCATTGTGTCGTCATCAATGCCATACAACAGAGAGCACTTTTCTGTATCTATAGGCGTTTGGTATACTTCTTTTGATGTTCTTCCAGAGGAAAACATCTAAACAGTTCACCTAATAATTGTCATTTTAATCATTAAAAGTAGAAAGTCGTACATGAGCAATCAATGTTTAAAGCTTAAAACTGAATGCATCAAACACAACCATTATTATTTTCTCCTCTATTAAAATGATGGATGTACTAGTAATGTTTCAATAAAGAAAATGGGTGATCTAGTGCAACTTGACATTTTTGGGCTCATCTAGGAAAAATCTTCAATCAATTATTTTTTTATTGTCCTTATGAATTATTCTTAGTCATTCTTTCTCAGACTATTCCATCTTGGATCAGAGATTCAGTGAAGTCTGAAGTTGAATCCTACATTAAATTCTCAGCCCACATTGTATGAACCCATGTTTTCATCCATCCATCTTCATACATTTAGATCTGATCTTTGAGAGTAGATTTTAAAATGGTATCACGGTCATTTCATCTTGGAACAACAAAGCCCAAACAAACAAGTCCCGCCATCGTCATTTTGTTTTCCTAAACCCTTCTTTCCAAAGACAGATTTCCAATAGAGTGGTCTTATATAGCTCATCATTGATCATTATGATTGATCATTTCCTGAATCATAAGCCATGAAGCAAGTCCCAAACAAACCGTCAGCTTTGAAATATTGCATAGTTGATCTCCACTTGAGGAATAGCATTGTAATGAAATGCCTTAAACTCAATCTTACCCTAATCAATTTCTATTTCCAACACAAATATCCTTTTCCTTCCTTCAACCTCCAAGCATCTTTAGAAATACTTCTCATTGAATGACCATAAATCACCATCTGTGACAAATTCAGGCAATGGCTCACTGTTGTTCACACTCCGTGCCATCATTTTGGGAGAACAAATATTTTTACAGCATGGGAATTAAAGTAAAGGGTCGCCAAAAGATGACTTAAGCTGCAACTATAGGCTCACTTACCAGAATGTAAGTCCAAATAGTACCATGGTATATAAATAGAACTAAGAATATGCATATCATGTATAATATATGCTTATATTTTCTCTGACATTTTTCTGACAGGTCCTCCAAGGTGTTAAAATATACCCACTGGGAAAGATATTGCTTTCTCCTTGGTCTTTCCTACTTTTCCCAGACCTACAATTTAAGCACTGGTCCCTTTGTGGATATTTGTTTTTAATACAGGGCTCTAATGCCTCAGTTGCCTACTCCCCAGCCAATAAAATCTATACCTTAAGCTTTGTAACCTGTGACTTTTAATAAGGTCGATTTTCTATCCACCCCCACATATATCACAGTGTATTAAGTAAAGACTGAATTGTAAACGGTATGAGTTACCCACAGTGACCTTCCAATGTAAAGTGGGAAAAAGAAGTCACAGAGAGAGAAAGAGAGAAAAACACAAATACACAACCTAAACAAGTGTTGTACTTCCCTTCCAGACAAGCAAGCATTGAGTTGCCTACAATATCAGATTTTTTTTAAACGTGAGCTGATTGCACGGAATCCATACTCACAGGCCTATTCTGGCATCTCTAGCAGTATCCACTGTGAATAATCTTACCTGGTCTGGGCAGATGCTGATGCTGCTGAAATGTTTGCTGAAGGGACCCTTGACAGAGCAGTACAGCACAGGCACTTATCCACAAATACAGGACCCAGGACATTGCAGAGACCATGGCCATTCTCTGAAGGAAAGGAAAGGCAAGAGTTAGCATTCCCACCAAGCAGGATCACCTTCTACTTCCTTTCAGGTCTATTAGTTCTTCTTTCCATCTTTCATCCAGGCTGTGGTTTTCATATATCAAAGAGCATATTCAAGAGACCTCGAGACCTGCTTCTACACCAACTTTAAATAATTCAGGAGCATAAATGAAATTTATTTGTAAAAGAAGCCCAGGGCTAGTGGAAGCCAAGCTGCAGTTGATGAGCTTGGCTTGAATTGCAAAAGTCACACTAAAGGGCTGGTCTTCCGGAGGGCACATTTGAAGGCAGAAGATTAGACATTCATGCCTTGCTGTTTTTATATATATATGCTGATAAAGAAATAAAGGGAGACTAGTATAGATCTATTTCAAGCTTTTTAGCTTTCATCAGCTAGCCATACCCTTACGTGGATTCGAACTTGGGCTTCCTGCATGTTAGGCAGTTGAATTATACACATATATATTAACCATGCCATTTATACTTTGCAGTAGTTTATACCTCTAGGTTTTCAGTCGTCCACTATAAGTGACACTAACATTTCTGTTCGTTTCTGTTGTGGATATGCCCTGTTGACAGTCAACTTGTCTGAAAGGATAACTCTCATTTTCAAGAGTTATTCCACACAGCAGCAAAAAGAAGCCCAAGGGGCACGTCTGAGGCTATTTTCTCCTTGTTACATTCTGTTGAACAGGAAATGGGAGTATCACTCCTACAACATCCTTTTTGCTATTGAGGATTGCTTATTACGGCACTAACTCTTCCATTTACATACATCAAAGTACAATCTCAAAGCTTCATAAAATACTGGCTGTACGGCTGAAAGTTATTGCGTATAATCTCCCTGCCCAGTCTGGGAATTCTGATACCTTTCAGTATCATACTTAACTGCATCAGGCTCAACTCACAAGCCATTAAAATTTTATTATCATCTGGTCTGCCAGGCAAAGCAATGGTTTCTCAGAAACATATGCTTCCTTCCCCCATTTTAACAAAGCAAAGCTGCCAACCTTTGCTCCAACCTTGTATTTTATCTAAATTCACCTAAACACAAAAACTCATCTGTGTGCCCTTTGGCAACTAACAGAAAAAAGCATTAGTGTGAATGACACGCTCGTCCCAAAAATGGAAGGTCCTTCTTTGTCAAGGCCTGGTTTGTGAACCCTTGATTTCATTTCTGGGGCATCAACGATTGTATGGTTCAGATGGCCTCTATGTAAAAGTGTACGTATGCATGTGAATGCATGCATAAAGTTCACAGCCTCTCTGCAATGCTTTCGGTGCCTGCCAAGTGTTGGCTATTCCGTGCACCGTCCAGCATTTCGAGCAACTCCTTCTGTTGCTTTTCACATTGCCAAATTAATCAAACCACAGGCACAGTCCTTACTCAGCCAATGACAAGATGGCATTTTCTTTCTAATAACCCAATCAGTGGAGCATCGTTCTTTTTTTGAAGACGAGGGGAAGAAAAGATTTCCAGACTCCAAGAAACCTCCTTCAGGTTTCTCAGGGTTAATTTGGAAGCAGTTAAGACTAAGGCTAAAATAAGAAAGGGGGGAGAAAGAATCACCCTTCTGTTTTGGTTAAGCAGAAAAGATCTGATCCACTGCAGTGTGTCAATGTCAAGCCGAGATGTAACTTATGTTTTTGCGATTAACTATTTTTAAGCATCGTTTAACAAGGATATCTGCAAAAGGCTGCTGGTCGGAAAGAGGACAGCTCAAGTCCAACTTTTTAAAGGAGACACTTAATATTGCAAAATGGCAAGAGACGATTGTCTCCAGCAGCTGCCATTTAAATCACCGTCTCTGCCTATCTAATATACTTGCCCAAGTAAACAGCAATTTACTTTATAGCTTCACAGCTCATTCTTCTTTCTTTCTTTCTTTCTTTCTTTCTTTCTTTCTTTCTTTCTTTCTTTCTTTCTTTCTTTCTTTTTCTTTCTGACTTTCACTTCACTCCAAATGAAAGACCCTCTCTCTTTGCTTCCTTCTTTACACCCCCCTTCCCCAAACAAAGCATCCTGCGATCCTACAGTCATCATATCCAAACCCATGCAGAACTGGATCGATTTAGAGAGCGGTCTTCCTCTCCCTCCCTGCTTTGCAAGGGAGGGGTTCACTTATGACATCAACAAACATTAAAGGAAGAAAAAGAGGAGTCTCAGCGGAGACTTCCATCCCTCAAGTGCTCTAATTCAACCTGAACTTTTTATTATTATTATTATTTTTCACCAGCTAAGCAGTGAGCAAAAGAAGAAGGAAAAAGAGGTGGTAGGAGGAACATAAAGAGCTGATGACCCCCCCCCCCTCTCGCCTTACTATGATCTTTGAACCGCATGGAAGACATTATTTTAAATCCCCTTCCTCTTTATCTGCCCCCCCTTCCAGTTTCAGCCTCCCAACATCCATCTTGAGAGGGCAGGGGGGAGGAGGTCATCATTTTAATAAACTTTTATTTTCTGGAAATCGCTCCAATTCTTTGCCTTTCCTGAGGAATGCTTCGCCTTCTCCCTCCCCTCCGCTCCTCCCCAAACCTGCCCGATTCTTTTTTCTCCTAACCCCACCGAAATCCTCGCAAGCTACGGGCGGAGGAAGCTCTTCCCCGGTTTGCGCTGGGCTGCCTCTGAAGTCTGGGAAAAGGCTGCCTTACCTGAGTACTGCAAGCCAAAGCAGAGCGCTCTGGAAGCATACATTGGAAAGATTTTAACACTTTTTCAAATCCATTTGGATGGACCACAGTGGGGGGCGATAGAAATCCACTTCAGCCCTCCGGGGCAAGCAAAAATGGTCTGGTTTTTTTTCCTCGGGATGTCTTCTCCTGAAGACCAAAGGCAACCCCAGGCGTCTCGGATGGGCTGGTCGGCGTCTCTCTCTCTCCCACCCCACCACGGTCTGGCTGGCAGGACTCCTCCGTCCAACTGTTAGAGAGATATCCAAGCTGGCTCTTCTTTGCTCCGGGTCTCTCACAGGCTTTCATAAAAGTAGCCAAGGTTGGTGGGACGGAAAACCCCCGTCATTTCACCTTTAAATCACTCTCCCGAGCGTCGCCCTTCTGGCTTGAGGAGACCTTTGGAGTGATCTGGAGATAATTCGTGGCTTCCCGGACACTTCTGCTGGAAGAGCGGTGGCCGTTGAATGACAGACCGGGCTCGCTCAATCGCTCGCTCTCCAAGGTACTGAACGCCGGAGTAAAAGCAGATAAATGTACCGTTAGGCTAAAGCCCAGCCTGGCAATACCCGGTGCCGATTGTCTGTTTTAATATATCCCCGGTTCGGTGAAAGTCTCGCATCTCTTAAAGGGACACGACCCCCTTGAAGGTAACCAGCAGCCCCGAATTGCCTCACCTGCTCAACTCTCCTGCCTTCCACACCCGCCCGAAAGCTGCCTTTTAAAGACGGGCAGGGTTGAGCATTTCTGCCACTCGGTGTGTGCCAACCAGCCAGCCAGCCAGCCAGCAGCCAGGGGGTTCTCCCTCCTCCCCGCAGCATCAGAGAGAAGGGAGGGGAAAACCCCGGGGAAGCAGGCTGAGCATGGGCAGGAAAGCGTCGGCAGTTCAAAATGTGACCAGGCAATGGGGGAAGAGTGGAGGGGGGGCGGGAGAGGGGGGGGGAGAGAGGTAACCCAATTAGTCATCAAGGAAAGGAGTGTGCAAAACGGAGTCCTCAGCTTTTTCCTAGAGTGCACGCTTGCTTGGCATTTGAGGGTGGCTACCGATCCCCCTGGAGAAATACACAACACCCCTTCCTTAATATTACCAGGGGTCTTGTGCCACTTTGCAGAGAGACAGAAGGGTGATGGTCGTGTTATTTTTCACTCCCATCAGAGGGAAAGCGAGGGTTTTTTTGTTTTGTTTTGTTTTGGTGCATCCGATTAAAGGAATTTGGCTAAATGAAACCAGTAACTCTCTGAATGTATAAGTTGACATAATAACCAGATCAAGACACCATCCCTCTTTTTCTTCACCCTGGTCACCGTCCACATTGTCCCCCAAATGGGGTACATGATTGCAAATGATTAAAAACTGATCAGTGTGTAAATGTTGGCAATTCTAGCTTTGTGCAGGTATGTCAATAACCAACAATCTGAAAATAAGTACAGCCAACAATCTCTAGAAGGTGAGCACATTTTTTTTAACCATCACTGTTATATATTAAATTAGAGATCCAAAATAATTATTGGCAGTCAGATGATAATGCTCTGAATCTCCCTCTCCTATACATAAACACACACACACACACACACACCTTTCATGCAGATGTGAATGTTCACAATTAAGTTATTAATCACAAACAAGACTGTTGACATTTATGTGCTCCCAAAACTGATTCAATATTGTTGTTGTTTTTTTCTTTTTCCTTTCTTGAATTTCTACCCTGTGTTTCTGTTTTAAGTACCAAGCTTGGAGCTGTGACAAAGACATCCAACTTATAAATTAAAACAATCCAAATGAAAAGAAACACAAAATAAAAATTAAAACAACATTAACAGCTAATATCAGAATTAAAATAAAACATAGACAAATCAGATCTTCAACAGCTGAGGAGCCAAGCAACCTTTCCTGCTTACCACACAGACAGTTCCTAATTGGAAGGTCATCTTCAATTTTGAAACGAAGGCCTCTTGTCCTGCTGATTTTAGTATCCAGGAAAATTCATAGCAGGAAAGGCAGATCTATGGATGGTTAATCCCAAAGGTATTAAGAGCTTTATGGGTCAATACCAATATTCTGAACACAACAGAAGCCTTTCCTGATCTTGGAGAAGCTTCCAGTGAGTGCTATGTGAGCTGATGGGTCAATACCAATATTCTGAAGGCCACTAGAAGCTAGTTCTGATCTTTCAGAAGAAGCATCACATGATTCTCCATAAGTAGCCTAGCTAGCACATGTTTCATCATTTGCACTCAGAATATATTTCGAGGGTAGCTCTGCTTACAGGACATTGCAGTAGTCAAAAGTGTGTTGCTGCTGAGGTATGGATAATGTTTACTAGGTGTGGTTGCTTTGAAAAGAGTTCTGTAGAGAAAACTGACACACACACACACACACACACACAGAGAGAGAGAGAGAGAGAGAGACAGAGACAGAGAATGGAGAGAGAATGGAGAGAGAGAGAATGGAGAGAGAATGGAGAGAGAGAGAATGGAGAGAGAGAATGGAGAGAGAGAGAATGGAGAGAGGGGGGGAGAGAGGGAGAGAGAGAGAGAGTGAGAGAGAGAGAGGACTTTGCACTTAGTACTTATGCTAAATACTGGTTTTTTTACAAAATGAACATAAGCCAGGCAAAATGAACTGTGATTTATTTCCCATTGAATGGAAAAAGTTGCTAAAACTTGTAAACATCTCACTTCCTCAGATCAATGAGAGAAAACACTGGTTAATTTTGCAAGACATGTTATTGTATTTTAGTTTTGAAATAGTGAAGGACATAGTACATAGAATAATAGGGTTAGAAGGGGCCTTGGAGTGCTTCTATTCTAACATCCTGCTCAAGCAGGATACCCTAGACCATTCTGGATCAATGGCTGTCCAAACTCTTCTTGAAAACTTTCTGTAAGCACCCACAACGTTCAGAGGGAAGCTGTTCCACTGATTAATTCTTCTCACTGTCAGGAAAATTTTCCTTAGTACTTGAGTGGATCTCTCTTCGATGATGTCCTATCTTTTACTTCTTCTCCTATTCTCAGGTGCTTTGGAGAATACATCAACCCTTTCTCTGTGATAAACTCCTCAAGTAGTTTATGAAGAGCCTTGATAGTACAGTGGTTTAATGCACCCTGTTATTAACACAGCTGCCTGCAATTTCTGCTGGTTCGAATCTCTCCAAGGCTCAAGGTTGACTCAGCCTTCCATCCTTTCTAAGGTAGGTGAAATGAGGACCCAGTTTGTGGGGGCAATAAGCTGACTTTGTATAAAATATACAAAAGAATGAAGGCTATTGCTTAACGCATTGTAAGCCGCCCTGAGTCTCCAGAGAAGGGCGGCATATAAATCAAATTTAAAAAAAAAAAAAAAGTAGTGGAAGACTCCTATCATATCACCTCTAACCAGTGGTGAAATCCAATTTTTTTTTTACTACCGGTTCTGTGGGCATGGCTTGGTGGGCATGGTGTGGTGTGGCTTGGTGGGCGTGGCAGGGGAAGGATACTGCAAAATCCCCATTCCCACCCCACTCTGGGGCTAGCCAGAGGTGGTATTTGCCGGTTCTCCAAACTGCTCAAAATTTCCACTACTGGTTCTCCAGAACCTGTCAGAACCTGCTGGATTTCACCCCTGCTCTAACCCTCCTCTTTGTTAGACTAGGCATATGAATTCCCTCAATCGTTCATCATGTGGCTTAACCTCCAGACCCCTTATCATTTTTGTTGGTCTTATCTACATTCTTTCTAGGGCTTCAAAATGCTTTCTGTATCATGGTGACCAGAACTGGATGCAGTATGCTAAGTGTGGTCTCACCACTGCAGTATATGTGGACATCTTTTTGGGGGGTCGGGGTGGGGATAAAAACAAGTGCTTTCTCTTTTCCACTCTGATCATGCCCTACATGAGGGCTTTCTTTGATGAACATTTTTTGCATTGTTATATTATTTGATGCCAACATTTTAAAAGGCAATTTGCAGAACTACTTCTCCTTTCCTCTCCTCTCTTATATTTATACTGACAACATGGACAACATATTTGCAATTCTGGTGAGCAAGTCTCACTGACCTCAGTTGAACAAATAACAAACCAAATAAGCATACAGAGAATTGGGTTTAAGCCTTTGACTTAAGCAAGTTTAGGAATGCCAGTTCCTTAATGAGATGTAAGTACATCCAGTGAACAGGTATCAGCTAAAATACATTGCTTTCTGCTACATACAAGGTCTTGACATGAAGGCATGCACTATTTCAGTAGAATACAACAAGCTCCAAAATGCACCACCAATTGAAATCTACCGTAACCTTTACTCCGGCTTTAAGCCACCAGCATTTGTGTCCCTTGCACCCCTTCTCCATATCAAGGAATTTCTCTAGAATAGATGATTCATGAATGGTAGATTGAGATTTTCACAATGTTCTTTCCTTTTTAACATGCAAATTATCCCATTTGCCAGATCAATTAATAAACAGCTACAATTATCATTATGCCAATAATCTCCTTTGCTAAGTTTCAGAGATATCAATTAGCATTGAGAAATGAAGGAGGTAAGACAGTGGCATACTAATATCTTCAAAGGGAACACAACAAAAATGTTCATTCCTTTGTTCAGAGGGCTATTTTATATACTAGTAGCTCTGCTAAGCTTGTCAAATACTACCCTATTCTTCATTGTCATTCTTTCCTGCCAAAAAACAAAAGGAAATTGCTTTGTTGTAATTGGGTAATTTGGCACCAAATCTCAGTGGTGGGATCTAGGGCTGGAAGGGGGGCATGCAAGAATCATAAAAATGTGCTTGGGGTTACATTGATGACTTCCACTAAAATGCACTCAAGGCTGATTTAGGTTGTTTTGACTACCTTCCAACTATATATACTTGTGAGCTAATAAAGAACTCCTCATCAATCAGTCCTTTGTGACCAATAACTGAGCACAAAGAACTAAAACCAATCGGTGTTTTCTTGCCAGCCAGGTAATAAGAGCGTTATTCCATCTCTTTAACTCCAGGATGAAATGCACATCTCTTCTTCTTTTCCAAAATAAAAATGTATCCAATAGAAGAGAGCACACCTATCCCAGGGTTGAACTATGGAATCCTTGGTGCTCTCTGATCAAGGTTATTTGCTTGCAAATGTTTCATTACCCAACTAGGGAACATCATCAGTGCCAGTGAGTGTGGGGTTTCCACCTTGTTTATAAACAGTAGCTTGCCCTGCCAGTTTTAGTAGGAGTGTGGTTTTCTTCTTGATAGTTTCTTGATTAGGGTATTGCTTTCTCCCTAGTTGGTTCTCAGGTGTTAATCCTTGCTTATCTGGGTGTTGGGTGTTGAAAAGAATATGTTCTGCTGTATTGTTAATAGTGAGGATTTAGGGTAAGAATTGTGAAATGTAGTATGAGGTATTAATTGAATTAAGATTTAAGGTGGGTTAATAAAAGGGTAATAGTTTTGATTAAGTAAATATGAGTAAACTTTTTCTAAGATGGTATTAGTTGAAATATGTGATTTAAGATTAAGAAATAAGTGTTATGGCAAAATAGAATATATAAAATTTTGTTAAAGATGACAAAAAATTGAACAAATTGATGACTGGATCAAAGCTCTGTTCCAAAAAGATGTAATTTGTGTGTTTGAAAATTTTTTTTAAAAAAAACTTTTTGCAAAAAAAAAAAAAGAATATGTTCTGGTCTTTTTTTTTCCTTCTTAACTTTTTTTTTTTAAATCATTGCTTTTGAATGGCAGATAAATATGGTTTATTTCTTATGGTTTATTTATGGCATATTCATGGATTATTTGTCCAAATGCCAAGCTTCCAGGAATTTCCTAGAGGTTTTAGATTTAGCTTGGTCTAGGATGCTCACAGTTTCCCAGTTGTGATTATGGTTGAGTTTGTCCACGTGTTGTGAGATTGAGGAGTTTTTGTTG